GGCTGGTGGAATAACGCGTGTCTCTGCCTGCAGGAAAGGGCGAAAGAAGTTAGACTGGGAGGAAGAAGACCCCTCTCCTGCGATCCCCAAAACCAGCTGAGACGGGCAGCCGGTAAGGCCAGCGCCTCACACCCGCCGACGTGCCCATCGCACATGCCGCGGCGCACCATTGATGCAGCATGTTCACACAGGACCAGTGGCATGTGTTTGTCCAGAAAATTCCCCTTAGGGTGCCACCAGTCGAGGGTGGCCTGGAGGCAAAGCCAGTTTCCTCCAGAAAGTATGTTTGTCCTGGTTGCTCACTGAAAATGATGAGGTAATGTCAGAGGGTGGGAAACAGGATTTGGGTTTCCTGCATCTGTGGCTTGCTCCGCAGGCTGCATTACATGGCCCTCTTAAAACGCATTTCCTGGTTGAGGTTTGACGCAGCACAGGCTATCAGCGTTGGTGTCAACACACCGCTAGATAAACCTGTTGGGGAAATACCTGCTCCTCTGCAAGAGGGAGGGAAGGATGCCAGCTGTAATTTTGCTTCTTTTCTTCACAGGCTTTGAATAAACAGCCCATCTGGCAGCTCCTTGTAAAGAAAATCTTGGTTTATTTCTAGAATGTACCAACCCCTTTCCAGGAGGTCTCCATCACTGTCAAAAGATTCAAAGGCATCACTAGATGTGCTATTTCTGATTCCTAGAAAAAAACTTTATCTGTGCCAGACCTGACAAACAGTGGTATACATGGTGACGGACTGTTGACATCAGCTGGCATATGTGCTTTGAAAGGTCACACTGTCCATCAGCCCAGTCAGCTGATGTGAAGCATGTAACCAACCTGTTTGTTTCATTCCAGTGAGCTGGGATTGACAACCCATGAAGGAAGAAGGAGGGGATCCTGAAGCAGTGACAGACTGTTTGCTGCTGGACACTGTCCAAAGGGACTGCATGGGCATCAGTGCTGTTCCCAGGTATGGCACAGAGGTAATAGTGTGTCTCTTCCATGTGCCTGAAGGTCCAGGGCTGATCTAAGGTCTTGCTTATCCTCACAAGCAAGTCTCTCCATCAGTTTTGGGAGTAGAAGTGCTGTAGCCTTGACTTAATGCTGCCTTACGTGGTCAAACTGCACTCTGAAATTGTTAGAGGACTAGCGGGAGCTGACCCAAGGGAAAACTTTTTGTATAAAAAAAAAAGTTGATTTGGCTTATCTGAACTTGATCATCACATGGCTGCACGTGTTTTTAGCTCTGTTGTGGCAATATGACGAAGGAGGCCAGCAGAGGCAGCTGGCAGAGACGGCCAGGATCACAGCAGCCCGTATCAATGACAGCTTTAAGCTGCTATAGTACCACACCAGCAGCTCCTCTTGCTACAATTTCCCACTTGCCCTTGGAGGGATAGGATTTGTTGGGTTTTTGGTGTGGGTTTTTTATTTCTTGCCCAAGGACTGAAATAGGCAGTTTTGTTCTCTAAAATATTCATGTACTTAAGAAGCAGCACAAATCATGAAAACAATACTTGAGGAAAGTTTCTCCTCTGTGTTCCTTATGCATAGATCATCTGTGTTTTGGGACATGAAGCAATGGAGGAGAAGCTTCACTCTGATGTGAGTGTTGGGGGGCAGAGGGTTGTGTGCTTTGTTTTGTTTTAAACCTTCCACTCTGTTTCACCTGGAAGCTTTCTGTGAATGCACTGGCCTTGCTTGTCCCTCCGAGGCAAGGCAGCTGGTCTCCTCCGGTATCAGAGCCAACATCTCCACTCTGTTCATTAGCAAGTTAGTCAGCATTCTGCAAAGGTCAGGGGTGCATCTTAGCTACAAGTTTACTCAACACAGAAGCACCTAAGGAATGCTGTGATTTTTTAAAACAAATCTGCATGGGAGTATTTACTTCATTTTTCAGTACTAATCCCTTCTAAGGATTTCTTTGGCCTCTGTGGCTGTAACATTCCTCACTTACAACACCCCTGAGATAAGAGTGTGTTGCCTTGGTCAAGCCATTGCCTGACCAGTGGACCACTGTGGCCCTTGGTGTGGAGCTGGATAGTACCAGTCCTGCCCTGCTCTCCACCCAGCTGTGTTCCTGCCCTCTGCAGTGGTGGACTGCTTCAGGGAGCTCAAGAAAAGGGTGTTGGGATGTGGGGATGTTTCAGCTGCAGCTTTCCAAAGTGCAGTGCACAGGGTATACAACACAGCTGCCCTAGTGTCTCCACACCAGGAAATCCTTGCCATCCCTGTGAAATTGAGACTATCAAATTTTAAGATGCTCTTTCCTTCTGCTAGTGAGCGTGATGAACTTCATGAACAGAGCCAGGAGGGATGGGTTTAACTTGTGACTTCTAGAAGAATCAGTGGAAAATCAGTTTCCTTTTAAATTTCTCACATAGTATACCCTGAAGGGAATATATTCCAGAGCCTTCTAGTTTTGGGTCCTGAATCAGTGAATGATATAAATCTCCATGATACCTGAAAAGTCTTGTCAGTCAAGTGAAGTCCCTGGAGACTGGAAAAAGGGAAACATTGCACCCATTTTTAAAAAAGGTAGCAAGGAGAACCCTGGGAACTAACAACCCATCAGACTCACCTCTGTGCCTGGGAAGATCATGGAACAGATCCTCCTAGAAGCTATGCTAAGGCACATGGAGGACAGGGAAGTGATTCGGGACAGCCAGCACAGTTTCCCCAAGGGCAAGTTCTGCTTGACGAACCTAGCGGCCTTCTATGATGGAATGACCACATCAGTGGACAAGGGAAGGCTACCACTGTCATCTGTGTGGACTTCTGCAAGGCCTTTGACGCGGTCCCCCACAACATCCTTCTCTCTAAATTGGAGAAATAAGGATTTGATGGGTGAACTGTTTGGTGGATGAGGAATTGGTTGGATGGTTGCATCCAGAGGGGAGTGGTCAATGGCTGAATGTCCAGATGGAGATCAGTGAGGAGTGGTGTCCCTCAGGGGTCCATTTTGGGATCAGTACTGTTTAATATCTTCATCGATGGCATAGACAGTGGGATCAAGTGCACCCTCAGCAAATTTGCAGATGACAGCAGGTGCTGTTGACATGCCTGAAGGACGGGATGCCATCCAGAGGGACCTGGACAAGCTTAAGGAATGGGCCTCTGTGAACCTCATGAGGTTCAACAAGGCCAAGTGCAGGGTCCTACACCTGGGTCGGGGCAACCCCGAGTATCAATACAGGCTGGGGAATGAAGGGATTGAGAGCAGCCCTGCTGAGAAGGACTTGGGGGTACTGGTGGATGAAAAGCCGGACATGAGCCAGCAATGTGTGCTTGCAGCCCAGTAAGGCTAATGGTATCCTGGGCCGTATCCAAAGAAGCGTGGCCAGCAGGTCAAGGGACGTGATTCTGCCCCTCTACTCCACTCTGGTGAGACTCCACCTGGAGTCCTGTGTCCAGCTCTGGAGCCCTCAGCACAGGACAGACATGGACCTGTTGGAGCAAGTCCAGAGGAGGGCCACCAAAATGCCTGTGAGGACAGGCTGAGAGAGTTGGGGTTGCTCAGCCTGGAGAAGAGAAGGGTCTGGGGAGACCTTCTTGCAGCCTTCCAGTACTTAAAGGGGGCTTAGGAGAAAAATGGGGACAGACTTTGTAGCAGGGCCAGTTGCGATAAGACAAGGGATAATGGTTTTAAACTAAGAGAGGGTAGATTTTGACTAGATGTAAAGAAGAAATTTTTCACAGTGAGGGTGGTGAAACACTGTCACAGGTTGCCCAGAGAGGTAGTAGATGCCTCATCCCTGGAAATACTCACGGTCAGGTTGGACAGGGCTCTGAGCACCCTGATCTAGTTGAAGCTGTCCCTGCTCACTGCAAGGGGGTTGAACTGGATGACCTTAAAAGGTCCCTTTCAACCCAAAGATTCTGTGATTCTATGATCTGTACTTCTGGGAAGCCTCTAGGAAAGCCAGATTTGTTATGGACTCCTAGTTATCCTACTTCGGGATGAGGGCTGTTGTTCTTCCTTTACATCTTTAAATTCGCTCTTAGTTTCTTACATGAAGTACAGATCTGCTACAACAGCTTCTCTCAGATCATACAGCAGTGCAAAAATGCCAGATTATTTGTGTTGACTTCTGCTTAGGTTTTCATGCTCTAAAAACCCAGCTCAGTTGCATTTGTGTCTCTGCAGTGGGACCATGGAAGGAAAAGAGACGTCACTAAGTCATCACTCGGAGGAAAGCAGCATATTGGATTTACCCTCTGTTTGTGACCTAGCAGAGCGATTTCTGCCTCAACACAGCTCTGAAAACAGCGAGGAGCTTTTTCATTCTGTGGATACTTTTCCCTCTTTGCCCACAGGTAACAGCTTCTGCCCCTTCACATGTTCTTTCTGTAGCCAGTGCATTATCTATTTAGACTGTGTCATTTGACAGAGTAACAGCAGTCTGATACTGGTGCATCTTCCTTGTCTTAAAACACAGTTTACCAGAACTACACTCTCTTCCAGCTTGAGAGATACAGTGTGAACTGTGGGTCGATGAGACACAAGAGGGGAGTTCAGAGGATACTATCAGCTGCTAATGTTTTCACAACACTGTTTCTTCATGTTTAGTGTGTTCTCAAGACGAAGAGAGTTATTTGAACTAACCCACAGAGCCAATCCTCCAGGTATCAGTAGGAAATACTGTCTCAAATTACCATTGTCAGTAAGGAATGGTTTTAAACTTTTCCTTATATTCTTCATGTGCTCATCATGTATCTTCCACTCAGGAGCTTAGGATGTGGCCTCTGTAGCCTGTTACTTTGAAATTATAACAGTGAATGTTTGCTTGTGCTAATGACACGAGTGTGATGAGAACTGCTTCAGTTCAACTCTTGGGAGACAGCAGTTTCCTGACTTCAGGGAGGACTCATTCCTGCAGAAGAAGCATGTTAGATCAGCCACTACTCCAGATTCTTGGGGAGTAATGGTGTATCTGAGAAGATCAAGGGATAGCTGGTACATTCTGATTACTACACCCTTCAGCCCAGTCAGTGTGAATTTATGGCAAGAAATGTGAAATCAAAATGCACTGGCCCAGTGACACTTCTTTGCCATATATTCATACTGCCTAGGCTAAAGGTTGTAGTAATTATATTTAGTATTGGAGGGTGGTAAAATCTGATCAGCAAATAATGTGTGGAAATGGTTTGTCAAGGCACCTGAGCAGGTGAAATATCACTGTTGACATTTCTGGTTGCTTTGGAGTCTTAATTATTGTAAAAGTAAAGTTTGGCTCTTCTTCTTCCTCTGGCACTCTGTGGTTTACTTTGGCCTAGTTCCAAGAAGTCAGTTTGGAATTAGACGTGCAAGTTTTTTCAGTGGGAATTCCACTATTTTGTGTGCTAAACAGGTAAGCAGTGGGATCTACCAAACTAATGTAGCTCTGTTGATATTGACTACTTGCCTGTGCAGTTGTCTTCACCTCTGACTGTGGGACATCTAGAACAGTAATGAAATCTGCAAACCAATCCTTGCTTTGGTTTTCTTATGCAGACCAGGAAGTGAAGTGTCTTATGTTTCTAATGATGCGAATCTTCTGCTGTAACCTCTACTTTAAACCATGATCCATATCTCATTCAATGATCCATATTGCATTAGAGGAATAGTGTATCTTGTTTTGAGGTTTTGCTTTATTTTTTGCACGTAAGAGTGGTGATGACCACTATGAGGAATGTCCTGAGCAAGCCTTTTCCGCTGTTGTGGGAGAGGAGGATGGGACAGTTCCTCTAATAGTGAGACAGGCTGGAAGGCATTTGTCTACTCAGATTTCACAAGCCCTTTGTTGCAGGTATGAAGAAATTCTGGGAGCTGTGAGGCAATTCCTGCAATGTGTGTAGGGCGGGTTGGTTGCTCAAAGACCATTTAATGTGGCCCAGGGCAACAGGACTTGATTGCTGTGATGAATGGGATGCTTAAAGGAGCTGCATGACCACTGGTCTGAGCCATAGCGGCAGTGACATGTGGAAATGAAGATATGCTGCTCTAAACTCAAATGACAGCATTGGGCAAGTTGTTTACCGTGCATATGTGGAATATGTAGCTGAAGCTCAGTACCAAGATATGCTGAGAGGCCAGATCCTGCTGCTTTGCTGTCTCAAACACTCCCTGGTGTTGGTGAGGATACCAGGTGTGCTGAGGAGGGCAGACCAGGTCTGTGAACCCTCTCCTTCATCACTTGTTTTAGAAACCTCTCGCAGCTGAAACCACTTGGCAATAACTGTGGGATACATGCTGTAAAATGGTTCCTTACCTTGTGCTCCTGGTAATGAAATAACCAAGTATCACATTGGACTCAGTTCATGCTCTGAACATCTCAGTTCCTTTCTCCTTATAACAGCATCAAACCATTGTACATATTCACCTAAACTCTCTTTTTTGATGCAGCTTCTGCTTTCCTAGCCATTGAGTTTGGCCAGTGTGGCAGAAGAGGCAGGAGGATGGCTTTAAAAACAGTCTGCCTGTGTCAGATGTTCTTGGACAAGCAAGTTCTGTCAAACATATCCTGGGAAAGGAAACTCCTTTGCTTGTTTGTTTTCTCATGAGATCTTGTAAACTGCTGTGACACAAGGTAAATTGGCTATAGCTTGCACCCTACAGTATGACCAGAAGATTGCATCCTAGGCGTTGGGCAGGTTGGATGACGGGTCCTCTCATCAAACTTGAAATATTTTTATTAGGGGTGGGGGTCTTCCTTAGTGATTCAAAAGCATTTCCAAAAGGCCATTAGCTTCCTTACCAAAGAAGCAGACTGACAGCACAGGCTGTGTCTAACACCTTTCACATGAACTGGACTGAGACTGACTGAAATACCATGCCATCACAGCCTCAGGAGTCTGAAATGGTTATGGAGATATTCCTAGTGCCTGAGTCACTTGTAATAGGTTGTATTAGTCTAGAGAGGCTCTATCACTTGTAATACCAGAAGATGGTACCCATTAGCTGTGAAAACAGGGCGTTAGGAAAGCAGGAATCCCTAGGCAGGAAAACAATAGTCCTGTGGGAAGACTGCTAAATGTCTAAGTTATGTATAAATGAGTGGGTTTATGATTTGTGTGGGAGTGAGGGTTCTGCCTTTGCAACAAACATGCCTACTTTTAGCTTGTTGTCAGAGAGAGTTCAAGTGTTTAAGCAGCGAAAGACAGAGAAAATTAAATTGGATCAGTAAACTTTTCAGTATGCTTCCTTTTTTTCTTTTTTAACTCCATACTGAAAAAGAATAATACCAAAAAGTCATTGTTTATACTGTTTCTAACCCATGTCACTCAATAGCACAATGCTGCAGCAGTACCTTACTACTTCCTTTGGATTAAGAAAAATTGCCAGCAAGATTTCTTACTTGGTAGCGCTCAGGTGTGTATGTGGGGAAGCCTCAAATTATTTGGATTAATATTTGAAAGGCAGCTAATAAAGGTTGTTTCCAATGAAATAAGTCACTTTTTCTTGTAGGGCACTGAACCAGAGCGTACCAGGGACAGTGGAAACATAGCCTTGAAAAAATTGTGTCTGAAAAAATAGTGCCTGAAAAAATGCAGCCTAAAAAAGGGTTAGAGAATAGACTACATATGTGCTCTACAGATTGGTGCAGGCAGGATCCTGGGCTCTGCCCATGCTCGGTGGTCTGATAGAGCTGGGTTTGCCAGCGCAGCCCTGGCGTGGTTCTGCCAAGCTTGGAGGCAGTGTTTGAGAACTCAGCCATGGCACCATGCTTGGGAGACTGCCTGTCTGAAGCATGGGCAGAGTTCAGCCCCATCTGCCTTCCTGGCTGTTCCCTGTGGCTAGCAAGCTTGGGGTGATGGGTCTCCTTGTTTGTCCTGTAGCTTCTCCCTTAATCGCTTTTTCTTTGTAATGAAAAGTAGTTAAAAGGCTTTGTCTTCAGGAGAATGGATGGGTAGACAGGGTCACCCAGTGGAAGAGGAAAACCTAGCGTCACAGGAACAGAGAAAATAAAGAAGGGTGACAGTAGGAGAGGAAGGATGGTGAAGTAGGAAGGTGATGAAGTAGGAAGGAAGGCTGGGGAGATGGGGTGGTGAAGGAAGACAGAGTTCACCATGTGATTGGAGAGGCCTGTGAGTATCTAAAAGCTGGCTAGCTTTTGGGGGGGGGGGGGAAAATAGAAGCCAATTTGGGAGGATAGAGGTGTTCAACCTTCAGTTGCCTCTCCAAAAGCACTTACTTCTGTTCCTGCAGTTTGCTTCAGGTTTGAGCCCAGGATTACTTTAGTTATTTTCTATAGACTACCTCGACCTCTCTAATGCACCGAGAGTCCCATGCTGATTGTGCTTCTTATTCCTGTTCCGTCCTTAGCACTGCTACTCAGGTGGCCATGAGGAGTCAGCTCAGGAAATTGACCCAGCTTGCTGGGCAGCCACGTGAATATTTGTGTGGATAAGATGGGGACAGCTGCTCTTTCTGGCAACCACACAGGTATATGCCAAGATACAACAGTCTGCAGCGTGTCCTGTCTTTCGTATGGGGTTACAGTCTTTCCAGAATGGTGGTTTCTGGAAAAAGTAGTGTTAAGAGTATTAATCACTTTTCTTTTGTGGGGAGCCAGGCTGTAGGTTGTTTTTGATCAGTTGTGGGTTTTGTAGGCTTCCCTCAAAAATAGTCTGTTTGGAACAAGTCATGAGAGCTTGGGGGAAATGGAGCACAATCATTTCACTGGAGACTCAGTGGCTCCAGGAAAGTCAGTCCAGCCTGAGCCACCGCACTGCTGCTGAAATTGCCACTCAGATCAAGAGGACACCCGATTACAAGGTTATCCCATTTTAAAAATAAAAGCCATCATGATTTTTGGACTGTTCCAGTTGCTTTCTGTGTTTTCAGTCAACCAAGCATGTATGTTAAACAAAGCAGAGATTTCCAGCCTGTTAACACAGCTGTCAGTTCTATAGGCAATTTGGATTCCTCTGAAAAAAATGCTACACATACCCAGTGAATTTACATGCCTAGTTTTGCAGTGGGTTGCTATGTCTTTTATTGGCAACTGAGGAGTCACGCTAATGTTGGTGCATGTGTTCTAACTTGTCCTTAAATGCTCTCTCCTGTTTACCATATCCACTTGCCTGTCAAGAGTTGCTTAATCTGTTTTTCAAAAGTGGGCTGTGTTTACTGAAGAAGTCTGGCATGGTTTGTGCTTTTTCTGTATGGGAGTTGTGCACAAGTGCTGACATAGAAGCTGAAAATGAAAGGAGCAGGCTGTACTTGTCATGTCAGCAGCAACCTTTCAGGACTGGCACTTACGGGTGCTTGAAGGTTCAGTTCAGGCCAGAACTTACTGTATTCATTCATTACTTGATATCAAAATTGTAGCTTG